CTTGGAGGCGTCCTGGGCCGTCTTGGGCCATCTTAGAGCCATCTTGGGCCGTCTTGGTGGGCTCCGGGCCCGTCTGACGCCGACTTGGAGCCCCCTTGGGGTGCTCTAGGGCCGACTGGAGGCCATCTTGGGCGTCTTGGAGGCCTCTTGGGCTGCTTGGGGCCCTTTTGGGGCCGTTTTGGGAGCCTCTTGGGCCGTTCTGGGGCCATCCTGGAGGCCTCTTGGGCGATCTTGGGGCGATCTTTGGGGGCTCTTGGGCCGTCTCGGGCCGTCGGAAGGCCGAAAAGAAGCAGATCCCCAAATCCTGCAAAAACCTAAGGAAGATCAATGATGTTGGCCTCTTCGGGTCTTCCTGGAGGCCCTCTTGGAGGCCTCCTGGGCCGTCCTGGGCCATCTTATAGCCGTCCTGGGCCATCTTGGTGGGCTCCTGGCCCGTCTGACGCCGTCGGAAGCTGTCTTGACGGCCTCTCTGGGCCGACTTGGGGCCATCTCGGGGTGCTCCAGGGCGTCTTGGAAGCTTCCTTGGGCGTCTTATAAGCCTCTTGGGCCATTTTGGACCGGGAACGGGGGCCCTGGAGCCCTGGTCCCCCCGTAGAGAAATGAGGCCAGGCCCCCCCGGGGACCTGGACCCCTGGATATATATATATATATATATATATATATATATATGCGTATATGTATATGCCTCTATATATATGTATATATATATATATAGATGTATGTATGTGTATATGTATATGTATACGTATATGTATATGTATATGTATGCGTATGTATATGTATACACATGTGCATATGTACATGTATATGTGTATGTATATGTATATAGTATGTATGCATGTATGCATGCATGCATGTATGTATGCAGGTGCATATATACATACACACATAGGCATATGTATACACATATCTGTATACATATAGACTAGAACCACGCGCGCGCTTAGGTTCTAGCTAGGAGGCGAGCTTGAGTCAACGAAAGTCGCAGGGAAGGGGGCAGGGGGAAGAAGGCCAGAGACCGCTGAAGGATCCAAATACTGGAACCCTCTTGTGATTTTGTGGGGGGCCTCGTCTGGCCGCTCGCTGGGAGTTTGACGTAGCTTCTCGGGATCCTCTGAACCTGTCTGGGGCCTCCTGGAAGCAGGTTCGAAGCATTTTGGGGGCCGATTTGGGGCTTCTCGGGGCCTCCTTTGGGCCTCTTGGGGGTCTCCTGGGGCCTCTTGAGGGGCCTCCTTGGGGCCTCCTGGCGGCCTCTTGGGGCGGAAGGCTCGAGCTTGCGGTTCGTGGTCCCCCTCTGGGCCCCCTCTTGGGCCCGTCTTGGGGCCCTCTTGGGCCATCTTGGGCGCCTCTTGGGCCGTCTTGGGGCCCTCTTGGGCTGTCCTGGGGCCCTCTTGGAAGCTTCTTGGGCCGTCTTGGGGCGGTCTTGGAGGCCTCTTGGGCCGTCTTGGACGCGGTGAAAGCCCAAGATGCGAACATGCGAAAAATATACGTTTTCCCATAGGAATGGCACGATTTTTGTTTCTTGGACCTCTCTTGGGGTGCCTCTCGGAACGTCTTGGGCTGATTTTGGAAGCCTTTTGGCGCCTCTGGGCGGCGTTTTGGCGCCTCCTGGGATATGTTGGGCCGGAAGCTCGGAATTCGAGAGTGGCTTTCTCCTTCTGGGACCCCTCTCGAAGTCGTCTTGGGGTTCTCTTGGGCCGTCTTGGGGCCGTCCTGAGCCACTCGTGCGCAGCCTTGGAGCGCTCCCGGAGGCCTCCTAGGCCGTCTTGGAGGCCTCTTGGGCCGTCTTGGACGCGGTGAAAGCCCAAGATGCGAACATGCGAAAAATATACGTTTTCCCATAGGAATGGCACGATTTTTGTTTCTTGGACCTCTCTTGGGGTGCCTCTCGGAACGTCTTGGGGTGCTTTTGGGAGCCTTTTGGCGCCTCTTGGCGGCATTTTGGCGCCTCCTGGAGCCTCTTGGGCCGGAAGCTCGGAATTCGAGGTTGGCTTTCTCCGTCTGGGACCCCTCTCGAACTCGTCTTGGGGCTCTCTTCGGCCGTCTTGGGGCCGTCCTGGGCCACTCGTGCGCAGCCTTGGAGCGCTCCCGGAGGCCTCGTAGACCGTCTTGGGCGCCTCTTGGGCCGTCTTGGACGCGGTGAAAGCCCAAGAGGCGAACATGCGAAAAATATACGTTTTCCCATAGGAATGGCACGATTTTTGCTTCTTGGGCCTCTCTTGGGCTGCCTCTCGGAGCGTCTTGGAGGCTTCTGGGACCTTCTTGGTGTCATGACAGGCGTCTTGGAAGGCATCTGGAGCCATCGGAGCGCGTTCCGAAGCCGCCTGCGAACGATCTTGGACGGCGTCCGGCGGTCCGACGAGCCTCCGGGCCCCCTGGGGCCCACATTTGTGGTCGAGGTCCCGGCCCCGGGCCCCCGGACCCGGTGCGCCGTTATATGTATACTAGAACCACGCGCGAGCTTCGCGCGCGCTTAGGTTCTACCCTGGCACGAGCATCGGATGCGCCGCGGAGCGCATGAGGTTGGGAGCGATTGCAGGAAGAGCTGTGGATAGACTCACTGAGGACTGCCAGGCGTATCATCCAGCCACTGGCCCTCGTAGACATCGGCCCTCTCCGTGAGAAGGAGCAGTTGCAGCATGATAACGAATAGCTCGCGGCCAGAGCGTAAATGGAACGACTGAGAAATCACCCTCGAGCCGCGATCGTCGAGCGCCGATGAACCGTCGAACGCCGATGGACGACGGATGCGGCGTGGGCGAGGACGACAGAGAGGTCAACGACGACAAACGACAACGACGACTACGACGATGACGATGACTACGACGCAACCCTGCCCTGCGAGCCAGCGCCGGAGTAGCCGTGACCTCCCAAGCTAGCTCAATCGCCTTAAACAAAGATTCAAAAAACAGATCTCGCAGGAGCCAACACTGGGGTAGCCGTGACCCCTCAGGCTCGCGGCCAGAACGGGAATAGTACATCGGAGAAAACCCACCTCGAACCTCCATCGTCGACCCGATGACCGACGGATGCAACGTGAGCGACGCCTGTGGCAGTGTCTTGGGACCCTCTAGAGGGCCTGTGGGACCGAGCCCGCGTGCACCGCCAATAAGCGGAGCCGACTGTCGGCTCGAGGAGCAGAATGAAAGCAAAAGGGTGAAACATTCTCAGCCCTCCTGCTGTGGGCCTTCCTTCGTTTTGAATAGAGCGCTCTGGTCTCCAGTCCTCCCGCCTCCCTCCTCCTCTTCCCCCCTCTTCCTTTGATACTACACAACCAGGATACTATACAAGTATAGGCCTCACATGTCCTTGTACGGCGCGTGTGGAACAAAGGGAGAAGCCCCCTGCGAAACCTGGTGTGCTGCCAGATGGCAAGAACGGGCCCCACCCCAGCTCCGTAGCCGCGAGTGGGTATGTGGGGTTCCCTGAGCTACGCCACGGCAATCACTACAATTGGATGTAGGGAATCAGCTCCTGTAGTCACTGATATAATTACTAAGAACCACGCGCGCGCTTCGCGCGCGCTTAGGTTCTAGCTAGGAGGCGAGCTTGAGTCAACGAAAGTCGCAGGGAAGGGGGCAGGGGGAAGAAGGCCAGAGAGCGCTGAAGGATACAAATACTGGAACCCTCTTGTGATTTTGTGGGGGGCCTCGTCCGGCCGCTCGCTGGGAGTTTGACGTAGCTTCTCGGGAGCCTCTGAACCTGTCGGGGGCCTCCTGGAAGCAGGTTCGAAGCATTTTGGGGGCCGATTTGGGGCTTCTCGGGGCCTCCTTTGGGCCTCTTGGGGGTCTCCTGGGGCCTCTTGAGGGGCCTCCTTGGGGCCTCCTGGCGGCCTCTTGGGGCGGAAGGCTCGAGCTTGCGGTTCGTGGTCCCCCTCTGGGCCCCCTCTTGGGCCCGTCTTGGGGCCCTCTTGGGCCATCTTGGGCGCCTCTTGGGCCGTCTTGGGGCCCTCTTGGGCTGTCCTGGGGCCCTCTTGGAAGCTTCTTGGGCCGTCTTGGGGCGGTCTTGGGCGCCTCTTGGGCCGTCCTGTAACGTCGGAAAGCCCAAAAGAGAACTTTGTTGAAAATGTACGTTTTACGAAGGGAATGGGCAATTTTTTGCGTCTAGGGGCCCTCTTGGGACGCATGTTGGAGGCTTCTTGGGGCCTCTTGGGGGCGTCCTTGGACGTCTGGAGGCCATCTTCAGCATCTCGGAGCCCTCTTGGAGGCCTCTTGGAAGTTTCTTGGGCCGTCTTGGGCGCTCCTGGGGCCGTCTTGTCTGACCGGGGAGGCCTCCGGCAAGCCCCGACGAGCCTCCGGGCCCCCCGGAGCCCACATTTGTGGTCGGGGTCCCGGCCCCGGGCCCCCGGACCCGGTGCGCCGTTATATGTATAAATGTATATGGACTTGGGATCCTCTTCAAGTCCAGTGGCCACAATAACGTATGATGGTGCCCCAGCGAGACGACTTGGCTGTGGCAGAGAATGGTGAGCCTGTGGCCGCCAACTGGTTGGTCCCACTGCGCCAGCGACAGTTCAGTCCCCGTTGTGCCGTCTGTCAGCTCGGTGAACCCACTGCACACGTGACAGCTCGGTACCTCTGCCGTGGCCCACTGCGCCAATATCAGGAGGGGGAAAACACTCAGACACGATTCATCGTCGATTCCCCAGAAAATATGGGAAAATATGGGAAGTGGGGGGGAAGACGAAAACCCCCTAAAAATATGCGAACATATGAAGGATTTTTATTTGTGTGTATTCATTTGTGTGTCCTGGGGCCCCTTGACAATCACAAGTCGCTACCTCTGCCACCCACCCACATCACTCTAGTATTCCCCGCACCAGCGACCACGCAACTCAAACAAGCAAGCGTGAGATCCCTGAGCTCGCTCCATGGAGCGTGCAGCCAGGGATTTGTGAGACCGCAAAACTGGCCATCGCTCGGACGTCCATTTCCTGTGTTTTTTTCGGTTTCGTGCGTGGTTTTTTCGCCAAATGGTCAAGGATGCTCCTCGATGGTCTTCGCCGGAGGAAAAATGCACACGTCCGAGCGATGCCGAGGCAAAAGCAGAGGAAGGGGCAGACCGAAGAGGCAGGAAGGGGCCGAGGCCGCAGCAGAAACAGCTCGCCGACCTCTCGACTAGTGGAAGAAAGTCGCCGCCAGAGGAGGCCCGGACTACAGTCGGGGGGCTTGACCTAAGGAACCCTAAATAAGGAACGAGGCCCATTTTTTCCATAAGTTAAACTTCGATTTCCTATGGAAGACATAAGGAAAACCTGAGGCAAGCTGCGAAACAATCAAGGAACACCGAGCCCCTCCCCAACGAAAAGGGTTCCTTCTTCAGCGCCCCGACTGTAATGGAAGAAAATCGCCGCCAGAGGAGGCCCGGACTAGCTTGGGAAAAAGGAGAAACAGCCTCGCCCGAGCGCTGTGGCAGCAACGTGCTACGCATGGGGTCTTCGGATGCCCCTGGTGAGGCTTCTCGGAAGCCACTGAAAATTCTCTGGGTCAACCAGAGGGGTGCGGGGGGGCTCGCCAGGGCGGAGTGAGTGTGTACCCTCATCATGTTGGCCCCGAGGCAGAGCAAATTACGCGGGCTGCTCCGGCAGACACAATGACACACCAATGGTAGGCTGCTCTGACAGGCTGCCGCGAATCCAGGCCCACGAGGCCGTCGGGGAAGGCCCAGCGCAAGCGCTGCTCGGGGAGTAATATTAGGTCGGGCCTGTCCCCCTACAGGCGGATTTTGAAGGACGAATGATGAATACCCAACGAATTCTCAACAACATGCCAAAATGTTACAAAAAATCCTCCCCAGACTATTTTTTTACTATTTTTGAATATTCCTCCTGTAGTGGGACACGCCCGACTTAAGAGTAGTACGCTCGTCATGCCGAGGACGAGACACATAAGTCTGCTTCAGCACTCACGCCCGCGCAGCGTGTTCTCGATCTCAGCGATCTCCGCCTCGTCGTCGAGGCTGTTGAGGTCGACGTCGAAGCCGTTGTCGAGCCCAACCATCAGGGGGAGCCATCGCCGCAGCATGCTCATCTCCACGATGAGCTCCTTCACCGTCGGCTCGACCAGCATCTTGACGGTCTTCGTCTGCACCTTGACCTTCTGGCCGCCGACGGCCCCCTCCCAGGACATCCGCCTTCCTCGCCAGGCATGCTCCTGGCGCTTCGCGCTCGACACGGACAGCTGCGAGCCCATCGAGCCGACCGAGGCCAGGCACGCGCCCGCAGCCGTCGGCGCACCGGTGGAGAGGGCCCCCTCCTCACCGACCAGGCCTCGGGCCACTGCATACTGCATCGTCGCTGCCATCGTGCCGTATCGCTCAAAGTGGGAGCCCCCCAGAGAGATGATGTTCTTCCAGGACTGCCCCTCGTACTGAGAGTAGAACTCCCTCAGCGCCTTGGAGATGGCCTTGCCCTTCGTCTGGGCCCAGAAGGTCTCAAGCTGATCATCGGCCATCATGTTCAACTTGTCATGCTCAATCTGCGTACCCTCCTGCGCATACACGATCTGAACGTCGAGCTCTTCGATTAGCTCGGCGATCCCAGGATAGAACGACTCGCAGCAGTCGGTGACCCACGGCCGCTTGGCCAAGGTCACTATGACGACCTTGCCGCGCCTGCCCGCCAGCTGGAGGATGTGCTCGACAGCGCGCGCGGCCTTCGCCAGCGCGGCCTGGACGCGCGCCATCTTCTGAGGCCGGAGCCTTTGGTCCTGCAGGCGCTGCATGATGGAGAGGCCCAAATCGTCCTTCACGTAGGTGGTCGGGAACAGCGTGTCGTCCCAATCGAATACGATGACCGTCTGCGCCTTCTCCGCGCGTTGCCCGCAGGAGACCTGCCGGCCAAGCGGCTCGAGCGGGGTGGTCGCCTGGCTCCCGACCAACCTTCCCCTGGCCTCCTTGTGAGCAGGGCCCGACCGTCCCGGCATTCCTACAGGCCCACCGCGAAATATTCTTAGAACCACAGAACACTCCAAGAGCGAAGCCAAGCTCCTGGAGCAGAAAGCCGATGTGCTGAACCAAGCCAGCCTCGGCCAGAACTGCTCTGAGGCATGTCGCGCAGACCACACGAGGCTCTGAAGACGTTCTGTGGGGGGCCTGTGGGCAAGCCGGGACGCTTCGCCCCCGCTCGATCCCTGGCTAACTGCGCCACCTCCGAACCCGCCAACCCGAAGACGGTGCCGTGAGGCCGGCGGACGCCGCCCGGCCTGCCGCTGCTGCAGCCCCGCACCTGCCCGAACCCGTGCCGCCCAGCGCTGCAGGTGTCCGTGGCCTCGGCCGTGGCGGCTGCCATCCCCGGGCTCTCCGCGCCGCCGTCCACGGGGTCGTCCAAGAGGGGGGCGCCCAAGGGGGTGGGCGCAAGCCATGGCCGGCGGCATGCGCGCGGCCCGGGGGGGGGGCCAGGGTCGTATGGGGCGCAATGAAGTCTGGGGAGATGTCATGGCCCCCGCCATGATCTCCCCCCCCCTACACTTGGACCTCGGCCAAAAGAACGCTCTTCCAGAACATGAGACCCTCCGCCGGCCAAAACACACAGAACATCCTGGAATACCCTCCCCAGGGTACACCCGACAAACACGAAGAACACCAGGGTACCATCCCCGAACCGAACTCGATCTTCTACTACCTCGGCCCGGCTGCAGCCATCGCCCCTCGCCCCAGACCCCCGACGTCATGATTTTGTCATTGCGTCGAGCCCCCAACTTTTCGACCCATCCCCCAGGACCGGGTCCTCATCCCGAGTCGCTTCTTGACGGCCCCGAGGCCCAGCATGGGCCCCCAGAAGCCGAAAACCACGAAACACCTCCAGTCATGATTCTCTCATGACCCGACCCTGACTCCAGATCCGCCCTACTTTGGCTTTTTTCCCGACTTAAAGCTGCGTTGGAAATCCCCCTTTAAGAGGCCGAACAAGTAGGGCGGAAATTTCTGCACCCAACATAAAAGTAGGGCGGAAATCCACAGAAGTAGGGCGGAAACAGCAGCAGAAAAGCAGGGCGGAAATTGGCATCAGCGGGGCTTGAAAAGTGAGGCGGAAATTCCAGGCCCTACCTGCGAACTTCCCCAGAGTAGGGCGGATCCGGAGTCAGGGGAGGGGTCTGGGACTTGAGCGCCCCCGACGCCCGCGTCCTCCCGCGACCGCAGCCCGGGGCCGCGGACGACCCGCGGAGCGCCCGCCCCCGGCGTCGGCCGCGCGCCCGCGGACCTCCGCCGCGGGCCCCCGGCGGCCTCCTCCGCGGGCCCCCGGCGGCCGCTGGCGCTCGTCGTGCTCGGGTGCCCCGACGGGGCCCCGGGCGTCGCCCCCGCCTCGCCGGCAGGGCTCTCCCGGTCGTCGAGCCGGTGGAAGAAGGAGAAGAAGCCACGGGTAAAGATAAACTTCTTTGGCGCTCCGCGCGGATATTTCCTGGAGTCGCGCTGGACCCCTCCCTGGCGCGCGGAGCGCGCCTGGGGCGGCGCCGGAGGCGCCGCTGCGGGGGCCCAGGCGCGGATCCAAGACATCCGCGCGGAGCGCCAAGAGTTTGTGTGCTTGCGTGGTTTTTTCTTCGTCTTCGATGGTGTGCGGCGAAGCCTGCCGGGCACGTCGACGCCGCCTCCCGCGCCCTCCTCTCTGCCGGATGCACGCGCAGGGAGGGCTCTGTGCACGTGTTCGATCGTCGCAGGTGGACGAGCATCGTCATCGGGACCTGGCCAGTTTCGCCGTGGAGTAACGAAGAAATGGCCGACAGCTCTTTGGCCAAAGGCTACGGAGCCATCCTGAGGCCTCAGTGAGCGCTCTCGGGTCGTCTTGGGGCCATGCTGGGCCTCGCTGAGGCCGTCGTGACGGTAGCTTGGGCGCTCTTGGGGCCGTCTTGGGCCGTCTTGGGGTCCTCCGAGGCACTCTTGGGGCTGACTTGGGCCGTCTAGGGTCGAACATGGTCGAAAATTCGGCCTTGGGGCCGTCTTGAGGCGATCCTGGGGGCCTCTTGTGCCGTCTTGGGGCAATCCTGGGGGCCACTTGGGCCGTTCTGGGCCCTGTGAATACCAAAGAGACTATATGCTAAAAATCCACGTTTCCCAACGGAAATGGGATGATGCTTTTGCCTCTGGGGCGTCCTTTCGGAGGTCTCGTGGAGCGTCCTGAGGTCTTGCATCGGGATGCTGTTGAGTACTGCAGTAGGTGTTGTGTTGGAGACGGAGGCTGTTGAGCACCGGGTGTTGTGTTGGAGACGGGTCATGCAGAGTACTGGGCGCTGTGTTGAACGCGAAAACGCGGCGGGCGGCGGGGGGCGGGCAACGGTCCGGCGGCGGAAGAGCGGGCGGCGCGCGGCGGGCGGGCGGATCGGGAATGGAATGGAACTCCTGAGTTTTCTCTCTTGCAGCGGGATGCTGCTGAGTACCTGGTCTTGAGTTGGAGACCGAGGCTGCTGAGTACCTGGTGTTGCGTTGGAGGCGGATGCTGCTGAGTATCGAATGTGCACGGAAGCACGGCGGGGGGCGGTGGGCGGCGGGCTGTCGGCGGGCGGGCGGATCGGGAATGTAATGGAGCTCCTAAGGAGGCTCTCTTGCAGCGGGATGCTGTTGAGTATTGAGTGTTGCGTTTGAGACGGAGGCCGTTGACTAGGGCTCCCAACTTCGCGCTTCGCGCTCCGCGAAGCGCGAATAACTTCGCGCTCTCGCGCCGCCCTCCCAAAGGGAGAATAGGAGGACGAGGAGGAGGAGGAGAAGGAACGAGGACCGCGAAGCGCGAAGCGCGAATAACTTCGCGCCCTCGAGGGAGCCCTTGGTTGAGCACTGGGTGCTGTGTTGGAGGCGGATGCTGTTGAGTACTTGGTGCTGTGTCGAAGGCGGAAGCGCGGCGGGCGGGGGGCGGGCGGCGGGCTGGCGGCGGACGGGCGGATCGAGATTTGAAGAGAACTCTTATGGATCTCTCTTGCAGCGGGATGCAGTTGAACACTTGGTGTTGCGTTGGATGCGAAGGCTGTTGAGTATCGGGAGTTGTGTTGGAGACGGCTGCTGTGGCGTACTGGGTGATGTTTTGAGCACTGTGGACGGGCGGCGGCCGGGCGGCGAGAGGCGGGCGGGCGGATCGGGATTTGAATACAACTCCTAAGGATTCTCTAGTGCAGCGGGATGCTGTGGAGTAGTTACTGAGTGCTGTGTTGGAGTCAGAAGCCACTGAGTATTGGGTGTTGTGTTGGAGACGGATGCTGTTGTGCACCGTGTGTTGTGTTGAACACGGAAGCACGGCGGGCGGGCGGCGGGCGGCGGGCCGGCGGCGGGCGGGCGGATCGGGATCTCAGTAGAACTCGTAAGGATTCTCTCTCGCAGCGGGATGCAGTTGAATACTCCATGTTGTGTTGGGGACGGAGGCCGTTGAGGACTCGGTGTTGTGTTGGAGACGGATGCTGTTGAATGCTGGGTGTTGCCTTGAACACGGGAGCAAGGCGGGCGGGCCGCTGGCGGCGGGCGGCGGGCCGGCGGCGGGCCGACGGATCGGGATTTGAATGGCACTCCTCAGGCTTCTCTCCTGCAGCGGGATGCTGCTGAGTACTGAACGATGTGATGGAGACGGATGCCGTCGAGAGTACTTTTTCCCTCGGAGGCCCACGAGGCAGAACGGAGCAATCCCGCCTGAACCCGATCGACGGGCGGCGGCTGCGGCTTCCTCCCGCGCTCGAACGCGATCCGCAAGCGCCTCCATGCCAGGTGTCGACACCAGGCGCGAGCGGGTTGAGCACCGGGCGCTGTGCTGAAAACGGCGGCGCGGCGGGCGGGCGGCGGGCGGGTGGGCGGCAGGCGGGCGGCAGGCGGGCGGCGGGCCTGCGGCGGGCGGGCGGCGGCGCACGGATGGGGATTGTAATCATCGAGCTTCTGAGGGTCCACTCCTGCAGCGGGCTGCTGCTGAGTGCTGAGTGTGGTGTCGGAGGCGGAGGCTTTTGAGCCCTGGGTGCCGTGGTGGAGACGGACGCTGTGGAGCACTGGGCGCTGTGTTGAGCACGGGGGCACGGCGGACGGGCGACGGGCCAGCGGCGGGCGCTCCTACACGGATCCTGCCCTGCAGCGGACTGCACTGGAACACCGGGTGCTGCGCTGCATGCGCAGGCGGCTGAGCATCGGGTGCCGTGCTGGAGACGGCTGCTGTGGCGTACCGGGTGCGGAAGCACGGCGCGCGTGGCGGCGGAGGGCGGGCGGCGGGCGGGCGGGCCAGACTGCGGCCAGGCTTGCAGGTGGGAGCAGTGGTGCAGGATTGATGGCGAGCTCGGCTCGACATGCTGCTGTCGTTTTTGGTTGGGGCTGCTCCGCGCGGGGCCGCGGGGGTCCTGGGGTGGGGGGGCGGCCTTCCCAGACCCCCGACGCAATGACTTCTTCATGGCGTCGACCCCCAGAGGTCCCGACCCCTTTCCCCATGACCGGCTCTGCATCCCGAGCCATTTTTTTGACGCTCCCGAGGCCTGGTGAGAGCCCCCCGAAGCCGAAAATTGGGGAAAACCTCCCGTCATGCTTTCTTCATTGCTCGAGGGGGTCTGGGGAGGGAGGTAGGAGGGAGGGAGGAGGGAGGAGGGAGGCCCGACGCCGAAACGCACAGGCGGCGACGGATCGGCACAGCTGCTTGCACGTCCGCCAGGCCAGACGCGACAAAGGGGTTGCAGGGGATCGCCAGGGCGCCGCGGAGGGAGGAGAGTGCGAAGGCAGGAAAAGGAGGCGAGGAACGGAAGGCGGGAGAAGACGACTAACCAATGGTAGACCGTACCCATCGGTCGGAAGAAGTAGGTAGCAGCACGAAGTAGGAAAGCGCTGGAAACAGATTGAGTTTTCGCCCGCCCCCCAAAGAGGCTGGAAGAGGTGAAGCCACTCGATCATTGAAGTAGCAAGGCGCCTAAAGTAGATTGGAATCTGGGAATCCCCAAAAACCTACTTTCAACGACCGATGGGTCCTTGTTCGAACGCGTGTGAATACACATGAAGTGCCACTGGCTGTCCAACGAAGCCTGGCTTCAGCATGCTATGTCTCATGGTGCTGCAGGTATTAACCAGCAGATCCGTCGGTGTCGTTTGGGGCTCTTGGGTCGTTGGTTGTATGGTTGTGTGCGTCGCAGCTCACACAGCAGAGCTTGCACCACATAGCATACCCCACGAAGCCCCCCACCTCCTCCTCCTCCTCCTCCTCCTCCTCCTCCTCCTCCTCCTCCTCCTTCCTCCCCCACGTGTGCCCCGAAGGGTTTCGACAACGGCTGGCGGAGCACATGGTCCAACAGCTTGGCGAAACTTTGCCCAGACGTTTGGCCACATAGGCGTATCCTCAAAAGGCCGGGGGCAGCGGCGACTCGCCGTGGGCGTCTGCGATCCGCCGCCCCCCGTGGCTTGCCATTGGGATGCTTGGCGTGCAACATTTTCTGAGCATTTTCTTAGGGTGGAGGGCTCAGGGTGAAATCCACATGGGCTTTTGCACCTCGAAAATCAATCCGTCCTGTGGTTCGCCTTTTGCAGATTCAAGCCTCGAGCGTACATCGAAACGGCATTTCAGATTTCACCCTCTGCCCTCCACCCAGA